GGACGACTGTTTCGTGAACCTAGGAGAGGAGGTAATTCTGACTTTGCTATGACAATCTCTGTGTGTGTGTGTGTGTGAGAGAGAGACAGCATCACATCACAGTGGAGTCAGCTGTCTTAACCACGGCTTGTGTACTGCATCATTACTGTGTCTGTTCCCCTTTCGGGCTTGAACTGATGGTAAAACTAATGACATTATTTACTGTCTTTACATTTATTTTGAAAGCTGACGCTCGCGATTATGGTAAGGGGCGTTACATTTCCGACGAGTGCTTGCGGTGTTCGGCCAATCACAATGCACTGGGTCAGCTGGCCAATCAGAGCAGACTGCGCTTGTTGGAAGGAGGGACTTTGTAGAAAACGAAGCGTTTGAGAGAGGCGGGGCATATAGGACCTACAATAATGTACAGTATTTGAAAAATAATGTTTTTTGAACATTAAAGCATGTCAACATATTCTGTTACACCAAATACACAAAATAATGATCTTTAAAAAAGCATCATATGACCCCTTTAAATAAACCGCAAAGACGCATTAAATTGATTAAAGGGGTCATATGATGCGATTTCAATTTTTCCTTTCTCTTTGGAGTGTTACAAGCTCTTGGTGCATAAAGAAGATCTGTAAAGTTGCAAAGACTAAAGTCTCAAATCCAAAGAGATATTCTTTATAAAAGTTAAGAGTTAACCATGCCTACCTAAAACGGCTCGATCTAACACGCCCCCACATATCTACGTCACTATGTGGGAAGATTTGCATAACACCGCCCAAATGTAATGATACAAGAAGGCACTATGTGCAGTGTACTTGTCATATGGAAGGTCAAATTGGGCGCATTGCATTGTGGGATACAGTATTCGATTGTGTGGCTCAGTTAAATACTACACATTTTGGCAAACATAGTATGTATTTTATGCATACTGTACATAATTTACATACTATACTGGAGAAATAGTAGTATGCTAGTATGTTGTTCTAAACGGCTTATGTGTTGTTGGTAAGTGGACTGCACACTGGAGCTGGTGTGTATCGCCCTCTGTAGGGCACGAGAGGTACTGCTTTCTCCTGTGGTTTGTATTGTAGATGACTTGTTCTGGTTAAACTGAACATTTCATCAACAGCTGGGGTAAATTCATGTCTAGTCCATGTCCAGACAAACATATATGTAGGCCTACATTCTCAGCTAAAATGAACTATTTCCTATAGAATTGAAGGAATTTTTAAAGGAGGATTGAATGAGAGAAAGTGGCTTATGAACATGGGTTATGGTTGTAACAGAACCATCTGTGGTATGAAGGTGAGTGATGGTCAGAAAAATTCAAATGTCTGGGTTGGATTTTAATGCTTGGTCTCGCTCTTCTTCCACTTTCCTGTTTAAACTCACTGCCAAAACAAACCCGGCATAATCTCAACACTGGAGAATCTTGAAGCTAATCCAAAACCATGTTTACAATTCTGGCAAACTGTTTTACGTTGACATATTTTACTCTGAAGCAGCCTTCCTGTTTGCATTATGAGTAGGCTATATGTTTCAGTTATTCCTACAGACCTTTAGCTGTACAGGAGTAGGCCTACCGTACGTTTAATGAAATCTACAGTATTTTACGTTCATAAAAAAGGTTTTGCACTCTAAAAAAATGTTATTACCACAATGCATCTAGAAATGTTACTTTTAAACACTGCATTATATATATATATATATATATATAGTACATATTAGATGTGTGTGATATAGTTTTTTTAGTTTATATTTATAATTTTTATATGATATAAAAATGTTATACACTATATAGGCTATTATTTTTATATCTGATGTTTTTTTATTTTTATTTTTTGACATATTAGATGTGTGTGATATAGTTTTTTTAGTTTATATTTATAATTTTTATGATATAAAAATGTTATACACTATATAGGCTATTATTTTTATATCTGATGTTTTTTTATTTTTATTTTTTTACATAATAGTATTAAGAATAAGTCAGTGGGGAAAATGTGCTTAATTGTCATAAAAATTGAGATCTTTTTCTAAAGGCTTCACTTTATTTAAAGCTGCAACCAACTTTTTTTGGTCAAAAATGATCCGAAATCAATATTTGAGCAAGTACACGACCAGCTAATGTTCAAAACTATCGCCTTACTTTAGTCCGATTCACAACGGTAAGCTTATAATAATGTTTTCTAATTTGAGTGGTACGGGTAGGATTTCGCGGGAAATTCGAGCATGGCACTGCGTCATTACGTCACGTCTGTAAACATAAAAAAGTAGTCCCGGCTACTAGGTTATGGCATGTGAGGATCCTGCAGGTGGAGGATCGTTTATAGCATTTTCTCACAGTAGCCGGAATAATTAAATGTATCATTTTGATGGCGGATTGTAATCCAGAAAGGATTATGTGTTTATGAAACACATGTGAATGAAATTAAATTATATTCCAGTTTTAAATGTGCATCTGATTACAGATAGCCTGGAATTACACAAGATCTGTATTTTAAAGACAACCAGTTCGAAGGGAGCATAATTTGCTTTTTGGGTTAAAAGAATTTCTTAATATGACATTCGAATGGTATGACAATTAGAGATTAGACTGTACAGAAACTGAAAATCACACGCTAATACACACTATACTCATAGTCACGCAGTGCTGATGTTAACATTAATAATTTGAGAACTAAGTATAACAATAATAGTAATTTGCTCGGTTTGATGTGATATGAGCTAACCAATCGATTCACTTAATCACCATTGGTAGCACGATTTATTGTAATCCTTTTTTCCT